CGATGTGGTTCGGATGGTGGAGGAGATCCGGTGCTTTAATCGGGCTCCAGCCCAGGCCCGAACTCCGAATGCTGCTTGAGTTGTGAGTTTGGTTTTTCTTCTAGCATTGTGGGTATTCTTATGAAATTATGGATGCCTCCTTTAAGTTTGGTTTTATTTCACAAAGTGCAATACTTGTGCTTGTGGGGGGTGGTTGTGAGGCGAACATGGACTTTGTGGGGGAGTTTGTAATTTTCTTAAGAGGTGATTGGGATGTTTGTCAGGGGATTAGGGGATAAGGGACCGGATTAGTAGCCGTAATTAGTCTCTTATTTATTATTTATTGCGTGTGTGCTGGTCCACATGGGTTGTCGTGGGCTTGATTTTGTGATTCTTGATTTTGGTTGGGAAATCGTTGACCTATATATATGTTGGTGCTTGTAAAAGTCGCGGGCTGTCTGAATTTGATTGAAATACGTTGATTCACTAATCTTTTTTTTGACTGGATTTTCTACATCCGCTTATTAAGAGGAATTGGATACGGGGAAATGTTACTATCCCATTACGGAATCGTCCCGTCGGGGTTTGTAATCGTTACATCATCATGTAACCGTCGGGAATAGTTGATCTAATGGTTACAAATTTTGAGGGAATGGTTTCGTAACAGGACCATAACATCTCTCACTAATTTGATGTTACGAACGAACATTCCAATGATTTGGTAGTTTGCCATCGATTTAGAGTTGCTTTTTTTTATTTATTTATTTATTTGGAAGAACACAACTCTGTTTGATTCGTAAGAGTTTGAATTCAGCTTGATTGTTCACTTAAAACGAGCCGAATGAGTCATGATTTTGGTAGTTTTGCCAAAACGGAATAAACGTTTGTCCCTAACAAAACTATGGCACCTTACATTAGAACTCATCGTACTCGGGTTTAGCCTAGTCAAGTCTGAGCTATGCTTAACCAATTACAATCGGTTGGACAAAGAATCGGGTTGTTGACCGGTAAGATTTTGTAGGAAGAATTTGTGTATTAGCAAACTGGTAAACGATCGCTTGAACCGGACAAACCAGTTAGCACCGGCCAAAAGTTGGTCGTTTGGATTTGTTGGACTGATTGAGATTCTTTAAAAAAAAAAATATTTTTTAATATATTTAAATATATTTTAAATATACATAAAATACATATTCAAATATGGTGGACATAAATAAATTATTTATCAATGAGATTAAGCATAAATTTCATCACGGAGGTATTATATATATTTTATAATATTAATAAATCAAATTTTGATTAATCACTGATAGACCAGCGAACCATTCAACCAATAGTTTGATTGATTTGATGACCGACAAATTTTGAAATTCTTGATAGGAATTCATTTGGAGCCCCAAGAGTTGGGATCCCCTCCTCCTTTCATTCATGGTGAGAGGACAAAAAAATAAGGGAAAATTCGCGCAAATACTTAGGTGTGCCCTGGCACACTTTGCTAGGTGTGCCAGGGCCTTTAGTGAAATACACCTTCTCTAAAAGTGCGTGGGGTAAGTAGGTAAGAATTTTTTTTTTTTTTAATGGGACATGTGTCTCAATTATATTGGGCAATGAAATTCATATATCATATTATATAAATTAAATTATCATTCATATTTTGTATCAAAAAATAAAAATAAAAATACTAAAATTCATAATTTTTCATTCTCTACAAATAGAGACCACATTTGATTTTTTTTAAACACAATTAATTTATCATTTTTTACAATTAATTTATCTTATTGAAAAATTATGACATAAATCTATAATTAGATGAATATGTTACATAGTAAGATGAACATGTTATAGAGTAAGATGAACATGTCATGGAATAAGATGAAAATATTACATTTTCACAGATGAAATTTAGATGGACATGTTCTAAAATAAGATGAACGTGTTACATAATAAAATAACATGTTATAGAATAAGATGAACATGTTACATAATATAATGAACATGTTATAGAATAAGGTGAACATGTTACATGCACAATAAGGTGAACATGTTACATAAATAAAATGAACATGTTATAGAATAAGATGAACATGTTACATAATAAAATGAACATGTTACATAATAAGATGAACATGTTACATACACAATAAGGTGAACATGTTACGTAATAAAATGAACATATTAAATAATAAGATGAACACGTTACATGATTAAATGAACATGTTATAGAATAAGATGAACATGTTACATACACAATAAAGTGAACATGTTACAAAATAAGATGAATATGTATTGTTTCAATCTACAATCTGTAACATGTTCATCATATTTGAAAACATATTCATTTTATTATGTAATATGTTCATTATATGTCAGTATAAAAAATAAATTACGAAAAATTATGAAAAAACGAAAAATTAGTTGTGTTAAAAAACCTATCAAATGTGATTATGAATTTTGGTATTTTTATTTTATTTTTTTAATATAAATAATTAATTATATTTTAATTTATGTAATATGTCTCATTTTTCAATTAAAAAGGAAAATTGGGGATGTGAACTACACTCTCCAAATTTCTCTAGTATTGGAGAGTTTTGGGGAGTAAGAGGGCGCGTGCAAATGTGCTCTGGCACACCTAACTAGGTGTGCCAGAGCACACGGTAGTGGTACTGGAAAATTCGTATTTATGCACTTCACTATTCTCGCAAATTGAAAAAAAAAAAGCCTTATAAATTATAATAGCCTCACATTTTCAACGCATGTTATAATAGTTTCACATCCGACAATGTTCCAAGTCGAGGAAGCTTCACAAGCCCCCACAACACGAAGTCCATAAGCCCCAACTCACATCTACAAAACAGAGGCAAACTCCACTTTGAAACTTAACAAGGGATTAAACATAAACCAATAAAATATGACGAGAGAGTACGACAATTGGGAGCGGCTCGTTCGAGCCGCCCTCCGTCGGGAGGAGCTCTGGCGGCTGTGCCACGACCACTCGAGGACTCCTAGCGGCGGCTCCACTTCAACAGCTTCACCCGGCTCAACCTCCCCTGCACCCGAGACTCCACCTGGTCATCGAGCCCAATCGCTCTTGAGCGGCCAAACTGGCCAACCCGGCCCGACGAAGGACGACAAGCCCATGATGATGATGAGGAGAAAGAAATCAATCATCCGTTTGGACCGTTGGATCTTGACACGTTGGCTTTCGGGCACTTTTACTAGTAGCAAGGTTGCGGAGGAAGTCTCGGACAGGCGCTAAATTTTGATATCCTCAATTTAGATCAATATTGATTTTAATACATTTATTACGTGTCTAGTTTTATTAAAGGCCGGTTATTATTATTATTTTTTTCTTTCAATAGCTTGTAATTTAACTATTTAAGCATTATATTCAATAATATAAACTCTTTTTTCCCCTTAAAATTGATTTAACAATCATGCTTTTACATTCAAAACCGCACAACTGTAAACATAATTATAATAACAGAAATGTGAACGGGTTGAAATGGCAATTAAGTTGATGACTCTATCATTTGATCTTTTCTCAATCTAATTAATATAATTCATGGCATTGTGGTTCAATTATTGAGATATGAATATGGGTGGCACGGTCAATGTCACACCTAACCTTTTCACCATTAAAATCAAATACTAATTTTTTTCAATAATTATCATTTTTTTAATAAATAAATGTTAACTCTTTATCATGAGTCATACACTTATTTTCTTTCTTTGGTCTCAATTCTCTTTTCATATCATAAGTTTTTCTCTAGTCTTGTTATGAGTCCAAAAGGCACATTTAATATCTTAATTTGATGTGTGATCGAGTATGGGAAGGACTTACGACAATTGGGGAAGGCTAGTGGAGGTCGTTATGCTTCGAGAGAAGCTTCGAAACCTTAGTTTATCCGAGTCGAGAAGCCCGAGCACTCGATCATCAGATTCAGATTATAGTTCTCGCTCGAGTTTTTGTTGGTTTGATGAGAGCTCATCCTATAAAGCAACTCCAGTATCGCTTTCAAAAAGTATCGAAAAACGAATGGTGGCCTCAAAAAGAAGGATTAATAATGCTATGTGGAAAGGCCTATCGATCTTTGTAAGATTGTTGCTTGATGAAAGAAATGATGAGTGACAAAATACTTGGATTTCTATTTTAGTGGTTAATTTTTAGCTCATATGGTTATCAAATTTGCAAAGATTGATTAATTGATTTGGATTTTATATAGGGTGGTTTGTCTCACAAGAAGGATAATGATAGAGAGGAAGGAGAACTCAAGTGGCTTGAAGTGCACAAAACATTACATGGCTCTGAGATTGCAAGGTTCATTACACACTCACACACAAACATATCCATCTTTTGAAAGAAAAGTTGGGTTTTGCTGTGATATGGCTAAACATCATTGGGTATTTTTGGTTATTCATGGTTCTATTTTTCTTTGTTAATTTTGATATCTTAGGCTTCAAGAATTGCACACCTTAAAGGGTCACATAAGTAGACTTGTGAAGGCAAAAGGGCTCCATATTGATTCCATTCCTCATTATCACACAATATGAAGGATCTAACTGGGCATAACATGGAGTATTGAAGGTATATAGGTATGGCCCAAGACGAACCAATGATGTTGCACATGCCGTTTTGTCGTACTTTTGTAACAATAATGCATATTAATTCGAGGTATATATTGTGATCTTTTATCCATATATTTGTATGTTGTATTAATTTTCTGTCATATCAGCTGATGGACATATTAACTTGTGTTCACTGGTAGAAGAGTGAGACTACGCTATTTAAGAAATATTATATTTTTATTTGTATTATTTTTATATGATGTGGCATATCTTTTCATACTGATTTAAAATATCGTGATCTTTTAGCCACGTACTTACGCGTATGAAATGTTAATCTTCTGTCACATCAGCTGGTGGATATATGTGAGACTACTGTTATATATGAAATATTTTATTTATAATATTTTTTATAGTACGACATTTCAATTAAAAATATGTATATATATGATGAAGTATAACCTCATATAATTATTAGATTCGCCTAACACCAACTTTACTTATCCTATATTTATTCTTTTACTTTTGCGTTCTATTACATAATACTTTTCCTTTTTTCGAAGGAAAATAAGAATGAAAAAAATAATCTTTAGGGAAGAATTTTTCATGTATTCTACCATGGCGCATGGAAAAGTTTTCGATTCAACAAATAAAAGGATTCTATGGACTAATTAAGGATTGTGTGGATTACAAGTATAATAAAGAAAAAGGAATAATAATAAACATTTAGAATGTTGTTTAGTCATCCTAACAATAGATAATTATATTTTTTAATATATTTTTAATAATATAATATCCTAAAATATATATACATCATTTTATATCATATATGTTTTGTTAGTCTAACTTACATAAGAATTTATGAAAAATAAAAGAGTGTCCAATTACTTTCAACTAAGACTGCAAAGGAGTCGAGTCGAGTTGAACATGGACCTCGTGAACGCAGATTGAACTTTTTTTCACTGCTCAAGCTCGATGAGCCATGTAAATGGTGGTCGACTCGACTCGTGAAAAAAAATAAGGATGTTCGAGTTCGACTCGGTGCTCGATTTAAGTTCAACTTAAAATTTTAACACTTTAAATATAAAGATACTATTTTTAATCTAAATAAACAACATGGGCCTCAATATTCTAATATTGATAATTAAATCATCTATGTAAATCAAAAGTCAAGAGCTCGTCGAGCTTACGAACCTCTTGAAATGATGCTCGAGGCTGGACTCATTTACTTAATTGAAGTGCTCAAATTCGACTCGAGCTCGAGTTTGATCAAGCTCGTTTCAAGCATTTAACTCCAACGCGTGCGAGCAGCTACACTATGTTGAAGCCCTTTTCTTATTTACATTTTTCCCTTTGCCAAAAAACTGCAGAACATTTCCCCTTAACTTGCGCAGGCAGGAGGATCCCACCTTTCTCTCAGGTAAATTCAAGTCCAATTTTTTTTTTTTTTTTTT